ACACCAAGGCCCTACTTCCAACCACCAGGGGTTATTTTCGGTACAGTAGGAAATCCGACGAATAGTGCTTTTTCATTGACATTTTAGTAATGCTGTTTAGGGTTAGGGTTTAGGGGAGAGTGTTACGCCCTGGCGGTGTGTACTTGCGAGGGTTCTATTATATGTTCTTGAGGCTCTTGAGGTTCAATTGTTCATTCTGACGAGGATAGAGTGCCCATGCGCAAAAGGTGTAGAGTCTGAGGTACAAGTCATTTGGACAGATGGCCGAAAGCCTGGCGAAGAGACTAGCTACTACGAGCTACTAGCAGGAGGTAGTGACACGACGAATGGGGCCAACGGCACGGCAGGTGCGAGAAAACAGCGACAATAAGAAAACCGGTAAGCTAGACGACGAAGCCTAGTCGTAGCAAAGGTTGCGTTGCACCACCTACCGGCATCGGGGTCGGATTCAGTTTGAAGTCTATCGAGTTAGAGGGATGAAGCGGGAGACCCGGTATCTTATGCAAAAGCCTTCAACGGATAGCCCACACCCCAAACAGCAAACCTTTGGCGTAAATCCTAATCCGAGCCATGAAGCTTCAGGTATTTAGATGCCACCGGAGGCTGACGGAACGACATGGAACCTACAGGAAGCCAAGGACATGCCCAGTCAGAGAAAGAGTTTTGGAAAGACGACCGCCGGTTGTGGTCATGCCAGCAAGCTCTGGGTTCATGGGTGCTAGAGACCGGGCTGACTACACTTCGTTGAGTATTCCCTGGTGACGGTGGAACTCGCTGCCAGGTAACCTCGCGTGGAGTTCGAAGCACGCCATGGTTCTGTTCTCTGTATGATTCTGACGACGACGGCAGACACTTGGTCAACAACCCCAGCGTGAAGAGTGATCAGAGATGCTGCGTGGTGTCCTGAAATTTCTTACGGGAAGCGGCCTGCTCAGCAACTTCGAGCGCAAGGGCTTGAAAAGAGGTGCAAGTGCAAAACTGACAGCTAAAGCAGGGTTCTTGAGCACTGGCAAACCCTGGGCGATTTCATTTGGATACCTCGTGCTTGCTACTGTTGTAGCTGCTTCTCACTCGTCTTGATCCAGATATGGTCTGGCCAGGTTCCCCCCAACAAGACACTCTCATCCATCCCGACGACATGCCTGTGCATGCCCATGACATCTGAGCCTGCAATCATCTCGGCCCTCCCGTGTCCGAACACCGCCCCAATCCACAGAAAAACCTCGGTGAAAGCGGATAAATATCCTAAACCCAAAACCCCCCAAACCCTAAAAGCCATACGCCCTAAACCCTAAACCCTAAAACCCTAAAGCAGGTAAATCCTGCGGAAGTCACCACGAAGATGATGGATGCAGCAGTAGCCAACGGGGCCTCCTTGCGCCTTGGTGCAGCCCGACTCCCAGCCTACAGGCCACAGCACCCTGGGGTTTGGGATTTGGGGTGTAGGGTCTTAGGGTGTAGGGTTTCGGGGTTTAGGGTTTCGGGTTTAGGGGTTTGGGGTTCAGGGATTAGGGAACTTCTTGACCCTAAACCCTACACCTAAAGCCCTAAACCCTAAACCGACAGACCCGAAAACCCCTACGACCCTAAACCGTAAACTCTGCTGGTGTTGACGACGCAGTCCATCTCCCTACCTCTACTAGGCCCTAAACCCTAAACCCTAAACCCTAAACCCTAAACCCTTACCCTGAGGGTCTCGAGCCTAAACCCTAAACCAAAAACGCCCTTTAAGAGGAACCCTATACCTGAGACCCGGCGGGTTTAGGATTTAGGGCCTTTAGGGTTTGGGGTACTTGAGGGTTTAGGGTTTCGGGTTTAGGGTTTAGGGTGGGTTTAGGATTTAGGGTTTTGGGGCACTTGAGGGTTTAGGGTTTCGGGTTTAGGGTTTAGGGTGGGTTTAGGATTTAGGGTTTTGGGCACTTGAGGGTTTAGGGTTTCGGGTTTAGGGTTTAGGGTGGGTTTAGGATTTAGGGTTTTGGGCACTTGAGGGTTTAGGGCTTCGGGTTTAGGGTTTATGCTGGGTTTAGGATTTAAGGTTTTGGGTACTTGAGGGTTTAGGGTTTCGGGTTTAGGGTGGGTTTAGGATTTAGGGTTTTGGGTACTTGAGCATAGCTGGACCAGCGAAGGGGGTAGCTTGGTCTTCCTAAAACTAGTTTGGTGTACGGAAACATCGCCTTTGATCTCAAGCCTAGACCCGAAACCCCTAATATAGGGGCTTAAAATATTTCCTATACTATTTTGGGTGGTTCCGGATTAAGGTTATAAGTTTACTAATCATTAATGGACCCCAAAACCCTATTCCAATTTTTCAGGCCCCTACATTAAATCTAAAACCCTAAAGCCCCAAGTCCTCAATAGCCCCTAAACATAAATGCCTAAACCCTAAACCTTAAACCGAAAAAAACCTAAACCCTCAAAGCCTAAACCCTAAACCCTAAACCCTAAACCCTCAAAGCCTAAGCCCCAAAGCCGCTGTTGCACGGAATGCTCCGACCTCGAGTGGACTGAGCTGATGCCCTAATCGGAAGGCTATCTGAGCCCTGAGTTTAGGGTTAAGGTTTGGAGTTTCGGGTTTAGGGTTTAGGGGAACCTTAAACTCAAACCCTGAAGCCCTGAAGCCCTCAGAGCCCTAAAAGCCCCAAGAAGCTAAGCTAACCCTAAACCCTAAACCCTAAACCCTAAACCCTAAACCCTAAACCCTAAACCCTAAACCGGAAACTGTTGAGGTCGAAGGCCTGCAAAGAGAAGGAGACCAGGCCTTCCACGTCCTGACCCTAAACCCCAAAACCTTAAATCCTAGACCCTAGGCCCTAATCCCTAAACCCTAAACCCTAAACCCTAGACCCTAAACCCTAAACCCTCTCGACCCTAGACCTAAACCCTAAACCCTAAGCCCTAAACCCTACACCCTGAACCCTAAACACTTTGAGTTTGGGGTTCCGGGATCTTCGGCTTCGTGTTGCGGGGTTTTAGGCGTTGGGGTCCAGGCTTTGGGGTTTCAGGTTTTTGGGTTAGGGCTTAGGGGGTTCAGGGTTTAGGGTTTAGGGTTGGGGTCCAGGCTTTGGGGTTTCAGGTTTTGGGGATTAGGGTATGGGTACAGGGTTTGGGGTGGGGGGGTTTAGGCTGGGGTCTAGGCTTTGGGGTTTCAGGTTTTGGGGCTTAGGGGTCTTACGCTGGCTTGTCTAGCGGGTTTGATGGCTTGATAGCACGATTGCTAAACCCTAAACCAGTTCCAAGCAAGACCCAAAACTCGAAACTAAACCCTGAACCCCTAACCCCTGCCGCTTATTCTTCCCACGAACCCCGTCGTCGTCGTTGTTGCTGCTGCTGTTGTTGGGTTTAGGGTTTAGGGTGTGGTTGTGGATCGTGCTTGTTGTGCTGTGTCTCGTCCTGGTTCCAACCTGGAGCCTACTGCATAAAGATCGCCAATACTGGAGCCTCCAGCCTGTGACTTAAGAACAAAATTCAGCAGAAGGTTGAATGTTAACAGTAGTAGTAGCAATAATTCTACTTCTATAAGAATACTAATAGCAACAGCCATGTTATTACTAATTATATCCAAATCTCATGAGCCCCAATGAGCCTCTGAAGACTCCCAAACCGAAGTAGGCCAAGTTCAGAAAGTCCCGCCTCAACCAACCCACGGGGTGGAGGCTTCAGGGGCCAGCCCTAAGCCCAGCCTCAATCCCCAACCCTAAACCTTAACCCTAAGCCCTAAACTCTAACCCTAAACCCTAAGCTCTAACCCCAAACCCGAAACCTAAACCCGGGAACCTTAAACATTAAATCAACCTTACAGCGCGCAGTCTGCAGGTGAAGGGTGTCCTGGTGAATGGCGAGGTGGACCTGGCGAGCCTTTAAGGGTTCCTCGAAGGGTTCCTTT